ACTGTCTGTATGCCAAGTGTGTCCCTTGTATAACTGACTGTGTGCTGGCGGAAATTGAGAAGTTGGGGCAGAAAGATCACCAAGGATCTAAGATTTGAATGACTATCATGTACACACAAACAAACCTAGCAGATGACTGCTTAGTACAGAGAGTAACTCAGCACAAATGTTACATTGTGGCCACAGATGACCCAGGATCTTAAAGAAGAATCTGGAAGATACCTGGAGTTCCTATCATGTACATTTCTACCCATAGGTACAAAATTGAGCAGATGCCAGATGATTATGGAGCCCCCGCGGTTTTGATTCTTACAAGACAAAGTTTTTCTGTCTTACTTCAATTGACTTTCTCTTATTCCAGTTCAGTAAACAAGCTATTTTATTGTTGTTTTTTTTTAAAAAAAAGATTAATAGCAAAGGAGACTGCGAATGAGCAGCTTGGGAGGAAGGAGGGCTACCAGGAGACTGGAAGAACAGAATGAGTCACCAAGTAGACAAGTACTGAGAATTGACCACTGGATTGAATGATGGGGAGGGGAGCTGCTAACAACCTTGCCAAGAGCAGTATTGTTGTCTTGTGGAGTCTGCATCATTAATTTGTTGGTTATAAAGGATCACGATGACTGCAGGGTAGAGAAGGAATTGAATTAGCTGTTAGAAACTGGGAGCAGGTTTTTTGCAGCAGCACAGGACTAAGGTAATGACTTGAACCAGGTTGGTAGCAGTAGATGTTGTTGATAAATAGAAGGATTTTGAAATGACAGGACTAGAAAGATTAGAAAGTAAGGCAATCAAGAATGCTGTATTTTGTTCACCAAAGAAACAGAACCAATTAGATGGAAATGATATACAGATGATTTGTTTTAAAGAATTGGCTCACGTAATTATGGAAACTAGCAAGTCTGAAATCTGTATTGTGTACTGTTAAGTGGTGGTGGTTATGTGTTTGTTATAGAGTAGGTTCTGACTCATAGTGAGCTCGCATAGGGTTTCTGGGGCTGTAAATTTTTATGGAAGCAGAAAGCCTCATCTTTCTCCCGTGGAACGGCTGGTAGTTTCAAACTGCTGATCTTGACACATAACCACTACTTGATCACAGTTCTTGGAGAGGAAGCTAGGTGGTTAGAAATTCAGGCAAGAGTTGATGTTTTAGGTGTGAGTCTTAAATCTGTAGGCCCAGTTGACAGGCTGGAAATTCAGGTGGTATTTTTATGTTATAATCTTAGATTCAGGTTCCTTCCTTTCTGGAGAATCTATTTTGCTCTTAAGGTCTTCAGCTCATTGGATGAGGCTCACCCACATTAATTAGTCTTTACTTAAAGCCCACTGATTGTAGATATTATGCATATTTATAAAACACCTTCACAGCAACGTCTAGACTAGTGTTTGACCAAATAACTGGGCTGAATAGCCTAGTCAGGTTTACACATAAAATTAACCACCACAGATGTCTCTCAGATTTGTGGCTTTCAGACATGGTTGGATGGTGGAATCATTTTCTGAGAAAGGAAACTGAACCAGCTTGTGGGAATATAAGAAATGATGATTTGAACATTTTGAGTTTAAAGTTCATCCAAGATGTCCAGGTGGAGATTCTGGATATAAGGTTCAGATTGCACATGTAATTTAGAGTTAGTGATATATAGATGATAACTGAAATCGTAGACATGGAAGAAATCACCTTAAGGGAATAGTATAGAGGGAAATAATAGGATTTTGGTCTGAGCCTTAGGGTAAGAACTACAGCATTTAGAAGCTAAGAAGACTAAGGAATATTAGAAAGAGTGATGAAGGAAAAACAAGAACCGAAAGAGTCTTCCAAGAAGGAATAAGGGTCTACTTCCGCTGAGAAGATGACTACTGCAAGAGGTGTGCTGGAAATATGGGCACGGAGGTCATTGGGGGTCTTATCAGGAGCTGTTTAGGTAAAATGATACGATGGAAACCAATTGGAATGGGCTGAGGGGTGAATGGGAATCGAGGAAATGAGACAATGGTGTGGAAGAGATTGTGGATTATGAGAGAGAAAGCACTAGAACTAATGCACAAGGTGGGGAGTGGGTTTCTAGGGAGGTTGTTGGTTTATTGATTGATTGATTGATTGGTTGCTTGATTGTGTTTTCAAGATAAGAGAGATTGTTGTTGTTATTAAGTACCATAGAGTTGGTTCCAGTTCATAGCAACCCTATATAATGTTTCCAAGAAGCTGCTGGTAGGTTTGAATCCAATGCTTATCTTACAGCACCACATGAGAATGGTTAAATGCTGATGAAAGGCAGTGTTTGAACAGGTGGAAAGGGGTGGGCTCTAGAGTTTAGGTGGCAGGACTGGCTTTGGACAGGAGCGGGAACATGACTGTTCTAACAGGACTAAACATGGAGAGGATGTGAGCTAATACAGGCACACTGTGCTACAGGGCTCTAGATGGCGCCAGGGTTTCATGGTTAGATGGGGGAAATGTTTAAGGCATCTGTTTTGATTGTGAGGAAGGAAACCACGTCATCAACTGAGACGAATATGGAAGGTGTGAAAAGTTTGGAGAAGCTTGGAGAAGCTTGGAAAGATATCAGTGAGAGTAAGTTTACCAGTAAGTTGGATTGGCCATAGGGTCAGGGCCTGGAAGCAGAGAATCTAGTTAGGGAAGGCCATTCATTGATGGTTTATCAGGGGTATGGACAAAAGTGTTAAAGAGAAAAAGGGATGCTTTCAAAGAGAAGTTTAGATGGTGGAATTGACCTGTTGTAAGAGGTGGAACCTGGAGGAGAAGCATGCTCTCAGGGAAACCTTGTTTTCAGAGACTTGTTTCTTCCTCTGTTCTGAAATTGGGCTACCTGCATACTGGAAAAGAAATAGAGGCAAGTTTATGCTCTGGGGTAATCTTCAGGCAGCTTGTTGTTTTTGTTAAGTGTGAAGTTGGTTCCAACTCCTAGGAACCCTGTATAGTGTTTCCAAGGAGCAGCTGATGGGTTTAAACTGTCACCCTTGTGGTTAGCAGTCCAGTGTTGATCCTGCCATGCCACTCTAGGTAACACTGTTCAGGAATCCTAATCTTCAGGTTTTGAAAAACAGAGTAGAAAGCAGTCTCAAAGGTAATTAATGGTAATTCTCAATAACAACAAAATAAATAAATGAAATTGAGGGAAAAAAAGAGAAATCCAAAAAGAAGTAACACCTCTTGTTTGGTTGGTGGATATGGTTGTACTGGATTGTGACATCTAGAACTACTTATAGTCACAGAGGGGTGATGTTAGTTGATGTATAAAGAATAGCAGAGTAGAAAGATGTAGAACACCTGGGTTCATGTACAACAACATGATAGCTACTTTATCTGTGAACTTCTTGTAAGGTAACACAGTTGTGGTGGTGGTTATGTGCCATGGAGTTGACTCATAGCGACCCTGTACAGGGTTTCCGAGGCTGTAAATCTTTACAGGAGCAGAAAGCTTCATCTTTCTCCCGCAGAACAGCTGGTAGTTTCGAACTGCTTACCTTGAAGCTCACAGCCCGATTTGTAACCACTACGCTACTAGAGCTCCTTAAGGTAGCACAGTAAATGTCCTAATAATTACCAAGAGTTCTAAGGCAGAGTTTTGAGAGCTTGCTAAATGTAATGTCATTCCCCTTTTACTCCGGTTTGCTAAATTACTATGAGCTGGGACTTGGTTTGGCTGGGGTCTGAGGAACTCAAGTGTTGCTAATTTCTAGATCAATTGCTTCATGAAGAAGATACATGTCAAGAGATGATACATGAACAGGTTACTGTTGGGTCACTTGCAAAGTAGAAAAAGGTGCTTCTGTGGGGAAAAACATTCTGCAGCCAAGGTGTATGTATAGTCTTTGTGCGGAGTAGGGACTGGACTCAGTATGTCTCTGGGGTACTCAGGGAAGCCTGGGAGAGGTAGAACTGAGTCAGCATCCAAATATAGCAAACTCTTGCAAGGGAAGGAGGAAAGGATCACAGAAGTGAAAAAAAGAGCTGCTTTCATTCCAATGGTCATATTTTTGGAGAAAGAATTTTCCAGTTCATGGCATGAGCTAAGCAGGTCCCACTTCCGAGGCAGTCCCTGTTTGGAATTCCAAAATATTCAGGCCCAAGGAGAAGAGGGGAGAAGGGGAACACAAGCCCAGCCTCAATTCCAGTTGATGAAGCTTAATGATGAATCTTGGGATTCTGTGCTAGTACTTACCAGTAAACTTTTATCCTGTGTTTCTATCCTGTGAAATTCCCTCTATCTCTTAAATTTTGTTGATAATTTAAATAATTGCTACAGCGTTGGTCCAATGAGACCCATAAACTGTGTTCTCAGTCTATCCCCTGAGTAACTTGTAGTAAAAATTCTGCAAGTTTCAACGGGGGGATGTTTGAGATTTCATGGAAGAGTGTATTCCCTTATAGCTAAATCCTTCAAGATATTATAATGTCACTTTACATACTTCACATTACATATAATTTGTACATTTTTTTCCTGCTTAGAATAAGGAATTCTAATTCTACTTCTGCAATCTTTTTCCTATCTCAGGCAAGTGGACGAGCTGGCACTTGGTAGCATAAGTAGAGTTTAAGAGAAAGGGCTCCTTTGTTTTTAGGCCAGTTGAGTTGTGAAAGTAGAAAATTTGGAGATGTTAGCTTGATTCTGCAGTCCGTGGGATAGACAACATACTTTTATAAGAAAGTTTCCTCTGAATATAAGTAGCGCTAATAATGAGTTCGAAACTACCAGCTGCTCCACGGGAGAAAGAGGAGGCTTTCTGCTCCCGTAAAGATTTACAGCCTCAGAAACCCTGTTCAAGGTCGCTATGGGTTGGAACCGACTTGATGGCACTTAATAACAACAACAACAATAATGAGTTATAGAAGCGTTTATGATATCATGAAGATTCTTGTCCCACCCCTTTTGTCTCCTAAACTGATTTAGGGAAATCAGATGAAATATGTTCTATGATTCTGTGATTCTTACTTCTTTCAAACATATCTTCTCCCTAGGTTACTGGAAGAGGAAATGGCTAATAATCTTTCACCAGGTTTCTTTTTAGAAGAACTTAACAAGTATAGTCAGAAACACAATGTAGTCCTTAAGTACTATGAGCTGTCTAACACAGGGCCTCCACATGACTTAAGGTAAGTTGCTTTATAAAAGAATTGGTCTCTCTAAAATATGATTTGTGGATGGGTAACTCTAGCACAATTTTAAAGGTCAACACTTCCAATACGTTAGCAAAGAAACTGAAGAGTTCCCTTGGCATAAAGTGGCAAGGTCAGAGAAAGACAGAAAAAAGAAGGTATAAGCCTTTTCATGATTCAAGAATATGGCTATTTTACTGTTTGGGAGTTACTTCTTACATTCACCAGTGTTGATTGAAGAGCTTGTTATTATATATGCATGAATTTTATAATATTTTGCTAATATTTCCTTTGTAATCAGGTTTACGTTCCAAGTTATAATAGATGACAGAAGATTTCCAGCAGCTGAAGGTAGAACAAAGAAGGAAGCAAAAAATGCTGCAGCTAAAATGGCCATTGAAATTCTTAATAAAGAAAATAAGGTAACAGTCTTTTTTTTTTTTTTTTTTAATCCAGTAAAAGAGAACTCAGAAATATATTTTATAATTTTCTGTGTGGAAAAAAAAAAAGTTTGGGAGCGTGGTAAGTCTGTATGATAAGCTTTGGACTGCGTATCACAAGGTTGGTGACTTGAGTCCATTCCTCTGGAGAAAGATGAGGCTTTCTGCTAAAGTAAATATTTACAGCCTTGGAAACCCCACACAGGGTTGCTATGAGTTGGAACCGACTTGATGGCACAACATATGGAAAAATACCCATTATACAGTAAAGCCATTTGGAAGTTCCTTTACATTCAGGAGTCTGTTCATTTTTCCCCTCTATCTCCATTTCTATAAAATTGTGTGTTAGAGTTTGTTCTTGTTAAGTGTGATCAAGTTGGCACCAACTCATAGCGACCCTATGCACAACAGACGAAACACTGCCCAATACTGGGCCAACCTCACAATTGTTGCCACGCTTGAGCCCATTGTTGCTGTAACTTTGCCAATCCATCTCACTGGGGGTCTTCCTCTTTTTCCTTGACCCTCCACCCTACCAAACATGATATCCTTCTCCAGTGACTGGTCCCTCCTGACAATATGTCCGAAGTATGAGAGACGAAGTTTGGCCATCTTGGCCTCCAAGGAGCACTCTGGCTGGACTTCTTCCAACATAGATCTGTTGGTTCTTTGGCAGCCTATGGCACTTTCAATATTCTCTTCAAACACCGTAACTCAAAAGCATCAATTCTTATATAGTCTTCCTTGTTCACTGTCCAGCTTTCACATGTATATGAGGTTATTGAAAATACCTTGGCTTAGGTCAGGTGCACCATAGTCCTTAAGTGACATCTTTGCTCTTCAGCACTTAAAAAAGATCTTGTGCAGCAGATAGATTGGCCTAATGCAATATGCTGTTTAACTTCTTGACTGCTGCTTCCATGACTGTTAATCGTTGATCCAAGAAGAATGAAGTCCTTGACAACTTCAATCTTTTCTCCGTTGATAAGAATGTTGTTTATTGGTCCAGTGGTGAGGATTTTTGTTTTCTTTACATTGAGATACAATCCATACCAAAGGCTGTGCTCTTTGATCTTCATCAGTAAGTATTTTAAGCCTCTTCACTTTCAGCAAGCAAGGGTGTATCATGTGCATATTGCAGGTTGTTAATGAGTCTTCCTCCAATCCTGATGCCATGCTTTTCTTCATAGAACCCAGCTTCTTGGATTATTTGCACAGCATACAGGTTGAATAAGTATGGTGAAAGAATGCAACCCTATTGCACACCTTTCTGAATTTGAAACCATTCAGTGTTCCCATGTTCTGTTTGAACAACTGTCTCTTGGTCCAGGTACAGATTCCTAATGAGCACAATTAAGTGTTCAGGAATACTCATACTTCGCAATGTTGTCCATAGCTTGTCATGATCCACACAATCAAAAGCCTTTGCAAAGTCAATAAAGCACAGGTAAACATCTTTCTGGTCTTCTTTGCTTTCGGCCAAGATTCATTGGACATCAGCAATGATATCCCTCATTCTACATCCTCTTCTGAATCCGGGTTGAACCTCTGTAAGTTCTCTGTCAATGTATGCTTGCAGCTGTTTTTGTATTAACTTTCATAAAACTTTACTTGCATGAGATATCAAAGATGTTGTCTGATGATTTCTGCATTCTGTTGAGTCATCTTTCTTTAGAATAGGCACAAATATGGATCTCTTCCAATCAGTCGGCTAAATAGTTGTCTTCCAAATTTCTTGGCAGAGATGAGTGAGTGCCTGCTGTGCTGCCTCACTTTTTAGAAAGATTTCAGTTTTTATTCCGTCAATTCCTGGAGCCTTTTTCTTCGCCAATTCCTTCAACAAACCTTGGACTTCCTCCTTTAGTATCATTGGCTCTTGATCATATGCTACCTCTTGAAATGGTTGAATGGCAACAATTTCCTTTTGGTACAGTGACTCTTTGTATTCCTTCCATCTTTTGATGCTTTCCGCACCATTCAATAATTTGCCCAGAGAGTCCTTCAATAATGAAACTTGAGACTTGAGTTTTTTCTTCCTTTTCCCCAGCTTGAGAAATGCTGAGCATGTCTTTCCTTTTGGTTTTCTGACTCCAGATCTTTGCACATTTTTTTTTACAATATTTGACTTTAAAATGTAATGAAAAAATGTGATGAGACATTGGAGAAGAAATGGCAGACTAAAAGTTACAGTATTTTGCATGGAAAAGTAACATAAATGGACTACTTTATTTTTCTTTATGAACTATAAAAGGAAATGGATGGTTTATTTCCTATTGTTAAAATTTGTTCTTGTAGATATTTTTGGGCTCGGGAAAGGGTTATGCTCTTTTTACTTAAGGTCTTTAATAGGGAAATATATAAAATCTAAGTTTTTTTTTTAGATTGCTCATTTAGTAGTTGTATTAGAAGAATAAAATAGCTAACTCTTTATTGTCACTTATATTAAGCAAGATTTTTTTTTCTTTGTAGGTCATTAGTTCTCCATCACTGCCAACAACAGACACTTCAGAAGGGTTGTTAATTGGGAATTACATAGGTCTTATCAATAGTTTTGCCCAGAAGGCAAAACTCTCTGTAAATTATGAACAATGTTTTAAGAATGAATTGGAGCCTGAGGTCAAAAGGTAAGATGTAGTTTGGTTTTCCTTCTGTTTCTTTTATCTCAGCAATAGTTATAATGTAGACTTATTTCAATGTCTAATTTTTTTCAGAATGTTTATCCTTTTTTGTTCATTCTGCATTGAAGGTTTTATAATATAAACAATTGAACATTTTTTTAATTAAAGTATTAAAATGCAAGATTGCTGAAGCCTTGAAACTCATATACCGTAATTGATGCAATCTGGGTTTTCCTTTATTTCTGTGTTGTATCGAGATGGCTAAGCAGCTCTGGTAGCGTAGTGGTTACTAGCCAGGTTGCTAACCTCAAGGTCAGCAGTTTGAAACTCCCAGCTGTTCCACAGGAGAAAGATGAGGCTTTCTGCTCCCATAAAGATTTATGGCCTCAGAAACCCTATATACGGCCACTGTGAGTTGGAACCGACTCCACAGCACATAACTACCACCACCGCCATCTAGGTGGTCTGCAGGAAACCTATGAGAACGGGAGGAGCCCTCACTTGAGTGTGGTGAACGTCTCAACCCTGAGGTTGCGGTGGCAGTGGCAGTGTGAAAACACCTCTGCTTCATGTGTTTCTCAGCTACAGCCAACCAGTAATCTGAGGGAGAGGAAACATCTAAACAGTGAATGGTTTTAACAGCCACATTAGGACTCTGTCCTGTGACTCAGCTATTTCTTGTCTTCTTTTTTTTTTTTTTTTTTACTTTTACTCAATGGCTTTCAGATAGAGCCAGAGAGGAGGGTGGGCAAAAGGGAAACGTGATAGTATTTATTGGAATGAAATGGTCAAAAGTGAATTCTGTGGGTCACTCTAATTAGTTAAGAGGTTCTTTTAATAATTCGTCAATTTGGTTCATTTGAATTGAGTACTCCAACATCAGATACTTAAAACAGAAGAAACCCATTTAGTGGTATCTGGGTAAAGTAGGTATGATGGAAACAGTCCAGTCACTCAACCCATACCCCAGTGTCTTCTCTGAGGTCTAGTGGAGAAGACTCACCCTGGTTAGGTGTGTTTTCTTCTACAGCCTCCAATGGAAACATAACATTCTTGTTAAATTAGACACTGAAGAGTTGACTCTAACTAACAGCAACCTATGTGTAGCAGAATGAAATATAGGCCAGTTCTGAGCCATCTTCACAATTGGTGCTGTGTTTGAGCCCACTGTTGCAGCCACTGAGTCACTCTATCTCACATAAAGTCTCCCTCTCTTTGGCTGACTTCTTATTCTACCAAGCATGATGCCTTTTACCATGCAATTGATCCCTTCTGATGACATGCTCAAAATAAGCAAGACAAAGTTTCATCATCCTTACTTCTAAGGAGTATTGTGGCTATGCTTTCTCCACAATGCTTCTGGCAGTCCATTGTATACTCAGTATTCTAACACCATTTGAAAGCCCTGATTCTCTTGTCTTCCTTCTCCAGCTTTTGCATACAAGATGAGGCAATTGAAAGGACCATGGCTTGGGTCAGGCCTAGAGTAATCATCAAAGTGACATCTTGCCATCCTATTCTTCTAAGGAGCATTCTGGCTATACTTCTTCCAAGATAGATTTGTTTATTTTTCTGGCAGTCCATGGTACTTTGAATATTCCAACACCATAATTCAAATGCATTGATTCTTCTGTGATCATATCAGCAAATAAAGATCTCAAAAACTTTACTCCCTCCATGTCATTAAGGTTGACTGTATTGTGAGAAGGAAGTCCTTCCCCAGTAGTATTTTTAGTGCTTTCCTCCTTGAGAAAATCTTATATCAAGTGGTGTTCTATTGTTATCCATAAGGTTTTTATACTGCACCTCATTGTAAAGAGGGCTTCTGTCATGGCAGTGTAAGATAAGCGCTGGACTGTGAACCACAAGGTCAGCAGTTCAAACCTACCAGCTGCTACTTGGAAACCCTACACAGGGGCACCGTGGGTCAGAACTGACTTGGCAGCACTTAACAACAACAACAATATAAAGAAAATAAAAATCCTCACAACTGGATCAATAAATAACATAATAAACAGAGACACTATTTCATTTTACTTGGATCCACCATTAATATTCATGGAAGCTAGCAGTAATAGGAGCTATGGTAGTGTAATTGGTATGAGGTGGGCTGCTAGCCACAAGGTCAGCGGTTCTAAACTCCCAGCTGTTCTGTGGGAGAAGGATGAGGCTTTCTGCTCCCATAAAGATTTACAGCTTCGGAAACCCTATGCAGGGTCACTGTGAGTCTGAACCAACTCCACGGCACACCACTACCACCACCAGCACCAGCACCACCACCACCGGCAGTAAAGAAATCAAACAGCATAATTGCATTAGATAGATCTGCTACAAAGGAATCTTTAGGGACTCCTGCAGAATCAGCACTGGATTATGAACCACAAGGTTGGCAGTTCAAATCCACCAGCTGCTCCTTGGAAACCCTATATAAAGGCATTTAACAACAACAATGAAAGTGTTAACAAAGATGTCAGTTTGAGAACTAAGGTGAGCCTGACCCCAGCCATAGTATTCTTATTCGCCTCATAATGCTCCTTGGAAGTCAGAATGTCAGAATGGTAAGACTTCATCTCATGTGTTTTGGACATGTTATTAGAAGGGACCAATCCCTGGAAACAGACATCATGCTTGGTAAAGTAGAGGGTCAGTGAAAAAGTAAAAGACTCCCAATAAGATGGACTGATACAATGGCTCCAACAGTGGGATCAAACATGACAACAATTGTAGGGATGGCACAGGACCAGGGAGTGTTTCATTTTGTTGGCATAGGATCACTATAATACAGAACCAACTCAACAGCTCCTAACAACAATTTTTGGAAACAGATCACCAGTCATTTCCTCCTAGTCTGTCTTAGTCTAGAAACTCTATTGAATCCTGTCCACCTTGGGCGACCCTGCTGGAATTTGAAACACCAATGGCATAGCTGTCAACATCATAGCAACATGCAGGCCACCACAGTATGAAAGACAAATGGGTGGTGGAATGGAAGCATAGAGCAAAACAGAAGCAAATAATACTGGAATAGTTTTTATAGTAGCATAAAGCAACCCTTGATATAAATTCCACCTCTATTACTTTGCCCCCTTATAATAATACTTACTTAATTTTCTGGGTATTCTTGCCTTACTGCAAATGTCTGTCCCTGAAATATAAAAAATGTTTGAACCTTAGCACTTGGGCCTGCACTATGAGGATTTACTTAGGTTTGTGTGTACATAAGCAGGTGGCTTAAAATGTTGATGTAAGAATGAAATCTATGCATTGTCTATCTCTTACTAAGGCCAAAGTATTGTGTCCTCATGGCTCCTCTGTGAAGCCCCACTTTCTATATGGGGTGTCATCTTCTCCTTTTGAATATCTCTGAATAATTCACCAGGCCCTCTCTTCCTTGTCTGTCCCCCATATCTTCTGACCTTTTGGAATATTTTAAAACTCACTTAATACCTTTGTGCCAGATTTTTCAGCTAAGCAATGGAGTGACAGGTTACCTGGAAAATGCAAACTGAGCAATCAGCCAGTCCTGACTATTTATTCAGCTCCATTGGTTAGCCATTTTACTAAAGGTTTAACCTTATAAATAAACCTATTAAATTAATAATAAGTAAATTGGAGGGTCAGCAAAAAAAAAAAAGAAAGCGCTCCCCCCCACCCCCAAGGAGATGGGTTGACGCAGTGGCAGCAACAAACGGCTCAAATGTAACATTTGTGAGGATGGCGCATGACCCAGCAGTGTTTTAATTCTTTTGTGCATAGGGTCCGTATGAATCGGAACCAACTCATTAACAACATTAAATTAATGCTGTCTTAAGGCTTTTGTGAATATATGAAAATTTCAAATCATTAGTTAGATATACTGTTATATGATAAATTCTCTCCATTACATCTCCTAGATATCATTATCGGTGCCAAATTGGACAGAAAAGATATGGTATTGCTTCTGGTTCTACTAAACAGGAGGCAAGACAATTTGCTGCTAAACTTGCGTATGATAAGATAACAGCAGAAAAAGCATCAATGGTATGCACAATCTTTGAATTCAATTTTTATATTGTTAAATTCCCTCAAAAGTTGATGTGAGGTTAGACTGTGTTTGCATGATGCCCAGATAGCAAATCATGTCACAGAATGATTCTTCCATTTTTTGTCCCACACCAAAGACCCATGAACAGGGAGGGATTAAAGATCTCTTAGTGTGTCAGAATTGTTGCTTAAACCTAGATCAAATATCCATCAAAAATGCATTCACCTTATAATTGTTTATTTTTTCGAATTTAGTAAATTTGGGGAAATAAGTATGTTAGCTCGTATAGAGACTGAGATAATGTAGAAAAGTAATATTATTCAATTTAAATCTTCAGAAATCTAACTCAGTAACCTCTGGTTCTTACCTGATTTCGCCCAGCGACGACAGTAGGATTTCTTCTGTGACATGGTAAGTGTGGACAAACATCTGTGATATTCAGCAAAGTCAAGGTACTGCCTGGAACCAGTTTTATGAAAATGTTGACTATTTAATGGGAATGTAGAGAAAGAAATGAACAGAATTCATAAGCTAGTAGTGATCCCATTTTCTTCTAGTGATTTTGAATCATCAACCCAAAATGGAATAACAGCACCTGTATCAGAACAAAAGGACAACCAAGACAGTTTAAAAGATTTTTCTTCATCTTATCAGGTATAGTATTAATCTCTAAGCTCCCTAAGTAGTCTTCCTTTGTGTTTTCTCATTTCGAAATCATTCCCAATACCCAATCATAATTTTAATGATTTTTTTTCCTCAGTCACTCTTACTAATGAACAATATTTAGCAGCCTTTTAATCCTTTATCCTTCTTTACTAGTCCCTTTCCTTACAAAGAAAATTCTTCCATAAATCTCTCCCATCTTTCTCTTCCTACTCACTCTTGTATTTTTATATATGTAACTATAATCTTGCTTTCTCTTCCCTCAACTGAATAATATTTGAGGATTCATTCACACAACTCTGTTATTTATTTGTTTTAATAAACTGTATCTAAAGTGGTTATGAATTGGGCTGCAAACCTCAGGGACAGCAGTTCTAAACTACCAGCTGTTCCGCAGGAGAAAGATGAGGCTTTCTGCTCCTGTAAAGATTTACAGCCACAGAGACTCTGTATAGAGTCGCTATGAGTCGGAACCGACTCCACGGCACATAACAACAACAACAACAACAACCTAACAACTAAATTTAAAAGTAAGATAATTTTTAGATTATGGTATTATAAGAATGTCCTGTGTATACAGATTATAAATAGTTGATTTAATATATAGTGTTACAAATTTGTTCCTATTGCAATTAGAAAAATAATGGAGATTATCCATTGATAAGAAAATGTTTAAATTAATCATAACATGAGGAGGCTTCAAAATGATCATGCAACAATGGAATTAAAGAGTAATGGAATTTTTCCATGATCTTTTTTATGCCCCCTTGTTAACTTGTAATAACAATATTGAAGCTGGCAGCTGGTTTGAACTCAAGAAATTTTAGTCTGATCCTTCCCTTTTCATGCCAGCATGCTTAAATTGTTGAAAAACTGCAGAGCCTACCAGAGTACAAGGAGATACAAATGAAGAATAGCTATGTAAAATAAATGATCATCTTTTATTAATATTTTAGGGCTATCAATGAACGACCCCTCACTTTTGTGCTAAGTATTAAATTACATGATTAATTTGTGCTAAAAAAAAATCCTGGTGTGGCACTGTAGGATAAGCTCTGGACTGCTAACCATAAGGCTGGTGGTTTAAGCCCATCAGCTGTTCCTTGGAAACCCTACATAGGGTTGCTATGAGTTGAAACTGACTCTACAGCACTTAACAGCAACAACAAATCAAAACATCACAATTGCCATTTTTGAACTGGTAATCAAATCACAAACCCAAACTCCTAGTGAATTATAAACCAGATCCCTGCACTTTATCTGTGTCTTTATTAGTGTTTTAGATGATTTTGGTGCACACTTTTAGGGACCCTCAAAGCACATATTCTACCTGGAGAACCAGTGCTTCTGCAGAACATGACTTAATAATTCCTTTTTTTTTGGTCCCTACCTCCACTTCCATGTCTGCTGGTTGCTGTAATAGCTGAATACATTGCAAAGTAAACTGAGAAGCAGGATTTGAAGTGATTCATCTACAAAGTAATGTGGTCACAGATCCAACTGGAAGCATAAGATGAAAGAAACTTCTTTAGCAAGCTGATAAAATTGGTTTAATCACCAAAAACTAAATTTCCCATTTTCTTTTGCTATAGATGAGTCCCAGAAATAATCAAAGGATTATAAAAAGGTGAGTTCCATTATTCATTGACCATATTTTGAGTAGAGTTTAATTTCAGACTTAGTCGCTCCATCTTATTTATTAAGTCTTCACTGTTTGTAGAGTGGAGTCCTGGTGTGGTGATGTAGGGTAAGCACTGAACTGCTAAACACAGGGTTGGCAGTTCAAACCCACCAGTCACTCCTAGGAAACCCTCTACAGGGTCACTGTGAGTCAGAACTGACTTCATAGCACTTAACAAGAAATAACATTTGTAGAATATGAAACATTTTTGTTTGGTTGGGATTTTAGTATAGAGCATTGTGAAGGCGCATAAAAGCTTGAACTCATCAAATATTAATAAATATATAGAGAAATCTTTGAATACATGTATAAGCTACAATGTAGACACGAAATACTTTGTATTGTTAAGAGTAATTGGTCAGGGGCACTACTTTTGGATAAGACAAAGGAAATAGGTTTGAAGAACTATTTAAAAGATAAATAGATTATTTTGGAGACAAGTAGGTAGGGTAAAACTCAGGAACAAGAAAAGATTTTTCTTTCAGCTGAAGAGAAAAGCAAGGATATAGACATAGTCAGGAGCTAGTGCGAGATGGCAGGAGGAGTCCTTCTGACCCACCAAAGTGTCTGAACAGTAGACGCAGAACCGGGATCATTGCTGATGTGTATGAGTGGGTCTGTTTGTGAAAGGATCAGACCCGTGGCCAGGGATATGATGGCAATGGGGAGGGAAGAGGAGAATTTGTGAGAAAGACTATAAAGGAAGAGTAAACATGACTTAAAGGAATGCAGTGGCAGGATTTGGGTGACAGGGTGAAGAAGAGGTAAAGGAGAAAGGATGTGAAGATTGCTTCCAATATGAATGGGATGCAGAAAAAACTTGTGGCACTAATGGGATTAAGGAAGTTAAAGGTTTGAGGCTACAGGGAAGAAAACGATGTGGCTATGTTTTAATTTTAGCTGGTGAAACAACTTTCTCTTGCAGTGGCTTACCGTCAGTAGGAAATGAAATGTAAAGGAAAAATGACTAAAATGATGGTGTAAGGACATGTACTTGCTCCTGTGTTGAGTCTAGAAGGAGAAATGAAGAGGCTAGTAACACACCAACAATGACATGCTAAGGAACCAGAAAAGGAATGAAAAATTTTATTAGAGACTAGAGGAGTCCTTTTGTGGTATTAAAGGATAAGCACTGGTACTAGTCACAAGGTTGGCAGTTCAAACCCACCAGCTACTCCTTGAAAACCCTATAGTGGGTCACTGTAAGTCAGAATCGACTCAATGGCTCCTAACAATGGCAGAGGAGAATCTTATGTGTGTAAGTTTATAAAGAAAATGGCTATTTGCCACTTGTTACACTGTTATTCAGGCAGCAGTGGTGACACAAATTGTGCTTGACTGTCAACCTAACAACAACAACCAACCTAAAGGTTGGTAGTTTAAACCCACTCAGTGGCTACACGGAAGAAAGACATGGCAATCTGCTTCCATATGATTAAAGCCAAGAAAATCCTATGGAGGAGTTCTACTCTGAAACACATGACTTTACCATGGGTCAGAATCCACTCAACAGGAACAGGAACAGGAACCCTATTATTCTAATAAAAATGTATTGCTGTTGAGTCACGGCGACCTTCTAGTGACCCTGCAGGGAAGAGTAGAACAGCCCCATAGGGTTTTGAAGGTGTGTTTGAGAAGAATATTGAAAGTGTCATAAGCTGCTTAAAGACCCAACAGATCTGTGTTGGAAAAAGTGCAGCCAGAGTGCTCCTTGGAGGCCAGGATGGCCAAACTTCATCTTTCATACTTCGGACATATTGTCAGGAAGGACCAGCCGCTGGAGAAGGATGTCATGTTTGGTAGGGTGGAGGGTCAGAGAAAAAGAGGAAGACCCCCAGCGAGATAGATTGGCCAAGTGGCAGCATCAGTGGGCTCAAGGGTGGCAACAATAGTGAGGTTGGCCCAGGATCAGGCAGTGTCTCATTCTGTTGTGCATAAAGGTCGGTACCAACTCGATGGCACCTAACAACAACAACAATCTTTATGGAAGCACACTGCCACATCTTTCTGCTGCAGAGCAGCTGGTGGACTTGAACTGCCATTTCAGTTAACAACCAAGCACTGAACCACTGTGTCTCCAGGACTAAAGTTCTTGTTGTTAGATACCCTCTAGTCACTTCTGACTCAGAGCTACCCTATGTACAGCAGAATGAAGCACTGTCTGATCATATGCCATCCTCACAATTGTTGTTATGCTTGAGCCCATTGCTGCTGCCAGTGGGCCAGTCCATCTAAGTGAGGGTCTTCCTCTTTTTCACTGACTCTCCATTTTACCAAGCATAATGTCCTTCTCCAGGGACTGGTCCTTTCTGATTATATGTCTAAAGTATGAGAGATGAAGACTCACCATCATGGTTTCTAAAGAGAATTCTGACTGCACTTCTTCCAATATTGATTTGTTTTTTCTTCTGGCAGTCTATGGTATTTACAGTATTCTTTTCCAACTCAAATGTATCAATTATTCCATGGTCTCCTTTATTCATTTTATAACTTTCACATGCATAGGAGGCTATTGAAAATATCGTAGCTTGGGTCAAGTATACCTTAGTCTGTCTTCTAACTGATATCTTTGCTCTTGAATAATATAAAGAGGTCTTGTGCAGCAGATCTGTTTAATGCAGTACATCATCTGATTTCTTGACGGCTAATTCCATGAGTATTAATTGTGTATACAGGCAAAATGAGGTGTTTGACAACTTGAATCTTTTCTCCATTTATCATGATATTATTTACTGATTCAGTTGTGAGAATTTTTGTTTTCTTTACATTGCTTTGCAATCTATACTGATGACTATAGTGTTTGATCTTCATCAGTAAATATTTTAAGTCCTCTTTGCTTCCAGCAAGCAGGCTGTATCATCTGCATATCACAGATTGAATCTTCCTCCAATCCTGATACCATGTTCTTCATAGAATCCAGTTTCTCAGATTTTTTGTTCAGAATAAAAATTGAATAAGTGTGGTGAAAGAATACAGCCCTGGTGTATACCTTTCCTGATTTCAAACCATTTAATATACGCTTGTTTTGTTTAAATGACTGCCTCTTTGTTTATGCATAGGTTCCTTATAAACACAGGTTCCTCGTAAGCACAATTAAGCGTTCTGCAATATCCATTCTTCACAATGTTAGCCATACCTTGTCATGGTCTACACAGTCAAAAGCCTGTACGTAGTCAATAAAGCACGAGTAAGCGTATTTCTGGTATTCTCCGCTTTCATCGAAGATACATCTGAAGTCAGCAGTGGTATCTCTTGTTCCACATCCGCTTCTGAAACTGGCTTAAATTTCTAGCAGTTCTCTGTCAATGTAATGTTGCAGCTGT